ATGCTCATGGCCCCCACTCCTTCCTTCTTTCTCCCAGCCTCCACCTATGGCCTCACAGGGAGTTCTCTAAAATCAGTTGATTGAGGAAGAGAAAACTTGGGGCTGGTTGACAGATGGTTCTATGTGATATGCAGGCACTAACCTAAGTGGACAACTGCAGCACTGTGACGCCTTTCTGGGGTATCCCTGAAGGACAGTGGTGAAGGGAAATCCTCCCAAAGAGCCGAATGTTGAGCATCTGGTTGTTCATTTTGCTTGAAAGGAAAAATGGCCAGACATGCAATTATATACCGATTCATGAGCTGTGGCCATGGTTTGACTGGATTGTCAGGGACTTGGAAGAATCATGATTAGAAAATTGCTGACAAAGAGGTCTGGAGAAGGGGCATCTGGGTGGCTCAGTTGGTTAAGTGTCTATCTTCGGCTCAGGTCATGATCCCAGAGTCCTGGGATTGAGCCCCACATCGGGCTCCCTGCTCAGTGGGGAGTCTGCTTCTCCCTCTGCCCCTCACCCTGCTCTTGTGCTCCCTCTCACTCTCAAATAAATAAAAAATCTTAAAAAAAAAAAAAAAGAGGGGGCGCCTGGGTGGCTCAGGCGTTAATCGGCTGCCTTTGGCTCAGGTCATGATCCCAGAGTCCTGGGATCCTCCCCCACTCCCCCTGCTTGTGTTCCCTCTCTCGCTGTCTCTCTGTCGAATAAATAAATAAAATCTTTAAAAAAAAAAAAAAAGAGGTATGGAGAAGAGGTATGTGGATAGAGCTCTCTGAATTGGCAAAAAGCATGACTATATTTTTGTTCCATGTAAATGCTCACCAAGGGGTAACCTCAGTAAATCCAGTGGATAGAATGACCTGTTCTGTGGCTACCAGTCAGCTTCTTTTCCCAGCTACAGCTCATTGTCAATGAGGTCGTGAACAAAGTGGCTATGGTGACAGATGGAGGTTATGCATGGGCTCAGCAATATGAGAATGTAAGCTCCCAAAGGGAGGGACTGTGACTATTTCCTTTGCTGTTGTGTCCCCAGAGCCAACAGCACTGTTTAATGAGTAAATACATGAATTACAAAAGTTTTAAAATATAGTACTGAGGGGCGCCTGGGTGGCTCAGTCATTAAGCCTCTGCCTTAGGCTCAGGTCATGATCTCAGGGTCCTGGGATCGAGCCCCGCATCGGGCTCCTTGCTCTGCGGGAAGCCTGCTTCTCCCTCTCCTGCTCCCCCTGCTTGTATTCCCTCTCTCGCTGTGTCTCCCTCTGTCAAATAAATAAATAAAATCTTTAAAAAAAAAAAATAGTACTGAGAAATGAGACCATGGAACAGCTCTTGGTAATAGTTTATTAACTCATTTCAAAAGAGTGATGATTGTGAACATTTGTGAAATTCTGTATTTAAAGTTAAGTGGTGGGAGATGCACACACATTTGTATATTACTAACATTTGCTTTTTAAACTCCCAGAAGTTTTTTTAGATTTTTCTATCAGTCAAAAGGTAACTGAGTTTAAGAAACATCACCAATTTAAAATTTTATAGACAAAACATAAATGTGGTCTTATCACTGTAACTTTCATCAATTAAAAATCACTAACAGGGGCACCTGGGTGGCTTAGTCAGTTAACCATCTGCATTCCGCTCAGGTCATGATCCCAGAGTCCTGGGATCGGGTCCCGCATCAGGGTCCCTGCCCAGCAGAGAGCCTGCTTCTCTCTCTCCCTCTGCTGCTCTCCCCTGCTTGTGCTCTCTCGGGCTTTTCTGTCAAATAAATAAAATCTTAAAAAAAAAAAGTCACTAACAGAAACAGGGCAGTCTATACTTGCTTAAGATTTTGTAAATATACTTCGGAGATGGTGATGGAAATATGTGCACCAAATGGCAGTTTCTTAATTACAGTCGTTTCCCCTTCTCGTGGGTAATACATTCCCAGACCTCCAGTGGATGCCTGAAACTGCAGATAGTACCAAACCCTCTACACGCGTTTGACCCTTGAACAACAGATTTGAACTGTGCAGGCCCACTTCTTTTTTTTATATAGTTTTAACAAGTTAAACATAAAGCTACTCCCACATGCTTCTACATAAGAGGTTACAAACCCTTTTATCTTAATGAAAATGTCATTTGAAAGACATCTTATACAAAGTGTAGCTTCAGTAAGTTAAGCACAGGAGTATTCCAATTTTTTTTTTTTTTAAGATTTAGAGAAAACGTGAGCAGGAGGAGGGAAAGAATCCTCAAGCAGACTCCCTGCTGAGTGGGGACCCTATCAAGCCGCCCAACTGACTGAGGCACCCAGGCACCCCTCCAATATGCTTCTACATAAGTTTACATAGACTTATTTCTCAAAGATTTTATTTGAAAGAAGTTATATACAGTGTAGTACCAATGGTTTAAGCATATGGCTTATCTCTTATGTGTAGGCCTACTTATATGTGTATTCTTTTATAGTGTAAATGCATTTTCCTTATGATTTTAACATACTTATTGTAAAGATATAGAATATGCATAATATACAAAATGTGTTATCGGTAGTTTCTGGTCAACAATAGGGTATTAGTTAAGATTTTGGAGAATCAAGTTATACAGAATTTCTTTTTTTTTAAAGATTTTATTTATTTATTCATGAGAGAGAGAGGCCCAGCGAGAAGCAGGCTCCCAAGGAGCAGGCAGCCCGATGCAGGACTCGATCCCAGGACCCTGAGATCATGACCTGAGCCGAAGGCAGACGCTTAACCATCTGAGCCACCCAGGCACCCAAGTTATACAGAATTTCAACTGCATAAGGTACGGGTGGGGTTGGCACCCCTAAGCCCCACATTATTCAAAGGTCAATTGTACTGTTTTTTCCTATATGTACATATATATGATATAAATTCGTAAATGAGGTACAGGACAAGATTCACACTAAAATAGAATGGTTATAATACACTATAGGGGAGCCTGGGTGGTTCAGCTGGTTGTGTCTGACTCTTGGTTTTGGCTCAGGTCATGATCCTGTGGGTTGTGAGTTCTAGCCCCAAGTTGGGCTCCATGCTCACAGGGGAGTCTGCTTGAAGATTCTCTCCCTTTGCCCCTCCTTCCACTCTCTCTCAAAATGAATAAATCTTTAAAAATATACTATAATAATGTTATGTGAACATGGCCTCTCAAAATCTTATTATACTCACCCTTCTTGTGATATAGGATATGGTACCCATGTGATGAGATGAAATAAGGTGAAGGACAGACATTGAGATATAGCAGTAGGCTACTGACCTTCTGCTCACCTGTCCAAAGGATCATTTGCTTCTGCACTGCGGTTGCCTGAAACCATGGAAAAGCGAAAACACAGAGGGGGGTGGGGGGGTGCTCTACTGTACTCCGGGCACTTTTCCTCCTCTAATAAATAACATGCCCAAGTGTCATAGCTACAAACCCACATAAGCCAATCCCTCCCTCATAATTTGCCAAATTTTCTCACCTTTCCTTATTTCCTTTGGAATTTAACTAGGATAAGGAACCATTTGGATGTCTGAACTATAGGAAATACTGGTAGTCTGTTCTTCGGATTAGATTTTTACAGTGATAAAATTTGTTTCCAGCTCTATTTCGAAGTCTATTGGCTCCTTTGAAATTCTTTTAGATGACAGATGTGGTTTGGTACTTTTCATAAACTTAAAATACAAGGTCTTTGGAAGTGACAAAAACATCAAATAGTTTAGACATCTGAGGGGTCCTCTGCTTTGACAGACTTGAAACTTTTTTAAAGAAAAAGCCATCACACTTTCCTTCAGTTTAGCACCCGGATGTCTCCTTAGTCTTGAGTTGTTTCAGTATTCTGTGGACAGCATTCTGTTAACCCGTTGTTGCAAGATGAAGGAATCCTTTCCCAAAGAAAACTTGTGTGGTAGATTGTATTTTCCCGAAAATGGTAATGGACAAAGGTTACTGAAGGTTTTGGGGGATAGAAGGTTCCAGTTGTCCTCCATCTCTCATTCCCTTCATAATGGATTATGGCTAGATTAAATATTTCAGTTTACTTGCTGTATTTTCTTATTTTATAAGGATGAAATTTTTAAACACATATATACATGCTTCTTTAGCTTGCAGGATGTATACTTTTACATTTTTCCCCCCTACTAAAAAAGATGTCTTCAACAGAACAGGTTTAAGAAAATAATCATCCATAATCCACCCAAAAGTTGGCATATTTTCTTTCCATCTTTTCAATATACAAAAATATCATCTTATTTGTATTTACTGCCTATACAACCATATGCTTAGGCTGTTTTTTGTTCCAAGTTTATTTTTAATTCAGAGATTAGGCAGCTAAGCCCAAGTTTGGCCTAGTGATCACTCATCCATCTTCCCAGGCTGGGGGACTATTTTTGTAGCCCACATTCATCTCTTACGGATCTTTTAACACATTTTTCCAGTTCTTACCAAGGATCTGAGACTTGTTCATCACAGCCATTACATTTACTTTTGCTAACACTAGGTAACAAATGAAGCTTTTCCTAGAAGAGTTATGTGCAAAGCCATCAGACTTGACAGAACAAAGACAAAACAGATTTGGTAATCCAGAATCTGGTCCTTATTCGACTGCAAAGTAGTCACATGGTCTTCACCAGCAATTCAGAGATTGCTTCTGTACCTGGCTCTGAGATTTTATCCCATAACCTTATTAGGTTTTAACCATTTGAGTCAAGAGGATCTCCTTTTCTAGTATCCCAAACCTAAGAAATTGTATGTCTATTCACTTTTCTAAAGAGTGAATCGTTAAACTATTAACTTTATTGAAACACTTTACCCTTGTCCTCCCAGATTGTCATATTTTGCCAGATTCAAGGGTTGGGTCAACACAGCCAATGGACAGCTGACATAAAATCTGCATATTTATAACTAGAAGTTCCTGAGGGGCACCCAGTGTCCTCCTAATGTACCACTGGCATATTCAGTTATGTCTTTATAACCCAGTTATTTCCTGACTACACAAAAAGTTAATGCATTGAAAACAGAGAAGTTCCACCTCTACATATTGAATTAAACTTTATTTTAAAAGGTAAAGTTTTATATATCCTTTGAAAAAAATGAAAATTCCAAAGTCTTAGAAGTAATGGGTTGTCAACATTATAAAGCTATTTAAAACAGTAATTAAAGTAGTGGTAATGCTGTACCCTTATAAAAATGTCACAATTCAAATCACAACTCGGATCCTCAATGATTCAAGTGTCTTATCTTACACAATAAGGGTTTGGTCAGTTTTAAGATAAAATTCCTCCAGATTGCTGTCCCCAAGTCCTCTCATCTCCTGGTCCATCAGCTCACACAATGGGATAGCTCGCTGCTGTGGCAATTCCACAGTGGTTGTCCTGGTCTTTGGCCATTTTTACATAGCCATTACAGCCCCATTCTGGCCCCCAACTGAAAGAAGAGCATATTTTCTGTTTTATACAAAGAATCAAGTACACATTAACTTCATTAATAATAATAGCTAATACTTAAGATAGGACTTTCCACTTATCAGGCACTATTCTAAGTGCTCTTACTTATAAATACATTAATTCCCATGAGTCCTTAACTTTTTAAGATAGGAAACTGAGGCACAGCTAGGATTCCAATGTACCAGTCTGTTTCTACAGACTATCTTATACCTCATCTCAAAGAACTTGAGTGGTGAAAATTGATCCTGACAAACCCTCAAAGCCTCGGAGAGTTGGGAAGCAGCATAAGACAGCAGGGCCATGAATGCTAACAGGAAGGGTGCACAGAGCCCACTGGACTCTTGGAAAATCTTTCCAACTTAAAGAGTCAGCAGTTATTTGTACTCAGTCTACCTTGTTGAAAAACTGGACACAGAAAAAGGAAACCAGCCCTTAACCCTATAAGGGTGCAAAATCTTTATCTGAAACTCTTTAGGGCCAGATGTATTTCTGAATAAAAAAAAAAAATTCAGAATTTAGAATTGCAATGTTACAAAAACATAATAATTCCAACAAGCTTGCTACAGAATCTTGTAATCAAACATCAGTACATTAAAAAAAAACAGCACGTTTTACCTTTATAAAAATATCAGAGTGTTCACTCTTAAGTGGGAGAAAGACTTTTGGGATTTCAAAGTTGAGCTTTTTTGGGCTTGAAATCAAATACTGATTCTAAACAAGCATGCCCTTTTCAATTTAATATATATAACATTTGGAGTTTTATACCTGTTCTTGACAATCCAAAATTTATTGTTATTTGAATCGGTTCCTTCATAGCCATAGCCAACCACCAGAACACCATGATCGAGGTCTTTGCTGCTGCACTCTGGGTCAAAATAAATGCCTAGGAGAGTAAAATTCAATGTCAGGGTAAGGAGCTCCAAGTGACACGACAGTAAGTCACCCTATCTACCACAGGTAAGAGAGACATCTCAAAATTCAACTAAATGTCATAAACAAATTCCAAATAATGCTTATTTATCAAAAAATTGTCATGGCTCATAAAAAGGAAAAGCCAAACTCAACTCACTAGCAATCAACAAAATTAAATCCAAAATATTTTCTACTTGAAAAAACACAAAGATTTCCAATAATAAGATCTAGTTACCAAAGCTAAGGTAATTTAGCCACTCCTATTATTTAGCATAATCCTTTCTATTCCTAAAAGGAAACAGCACAAAACAAAGTTAACACTTGAGCCACAGCATTCTTTGTAGTTCTATAGCAAACATTTTTGAGAAAAAAGGTCCAACAACTGGACAGTAGTTACGTCAATTATTTGTATTTACAGAATTACAAAGTCATTTAAAACTATTTAGGAAGAGTTGGTCATGTGAAAATGCCTGAAGTATGTCAAATGGAAACATCACTCTATTAAATGCACACTCAAAATTCCAGTTTTGGAAAGCAGGATTCCAAACCAAAAAGTCAATCATGGTGGTAGTTTTCCAATTTTGCCTGCCTGAATTTCTACAATAAAAATATAAACACCTACCTGATTTATAGAACTGGAACGACTGATGGCCTGCATCAATAGCAACAGAGATGGGTCCTACAGTTGCCACTGCCTTCATAAGGGCCTTCTCCCGTTGAGGGATGTCCACGAAGCCCGTGTCATTGGCAGCAGAACACTCAGGCCTGTAGTTACAGGTATCTGTGTCCTTTTAAAGGTAAATGGGAAAGAAACGTGATCACTACCATCCAGCTCCTGGGGAACATGAGTTCTAGGACCTCAAGACTCAGCAGTTTGCCGCTTAATGATTTCCAAGTCAACTTTACTGTAAGTCAACTGCAAAATGCTGCCGGTTGATTTGAAATTGAAAAATCAGCAGATGTTTCTTCAGTGAAACCCAAGTCTACTTGTCCATAAGAAATTTTTCACTATGGGACACCTGGGTGGCTCAGTCCATTAAGCGTCTACCTTCGGAAGCTCGGGTCATGATCCCGGATCCTGGGATCGAGTCCCACGTCGGGTTCCTTGCTCAGCAGGAGCCTGCTTCTCCCTCTCCCACTCCCCCTGTTTGTGTGTGCTCTCTCTCTCTTTCTCTCTCCGATAAATAAATAAAATCTTAAAAAAATTTTTTTTTCCACTATGGAGAAATTTGCATTATGTCCAGAATGGTATGTTAAGGTCTCCAAGTTACACAGAAGTAAGAACAGCTATATGCTAACCATCTATTCAGAGAACCTGTGCAAAAGGCTGACAATTTATAGTGGCACTTCCGTCAGTTTGCATCTAAAATGTGAATGCTGAATAAAGTGCCTGTTATCTTTGGTTCAGTTCAACTTTCAAAAGCAGGGCTGGAATAACAAGATAAGGAACTCCATTTACCCTTGCAAGATAGGGATAGGATTCCTCTGAGTCCAGGCCTCCGTTGTCCTTAACATATTGGAAGGCATAATCCATCAGGCCACCACTGCAGCCCTCATTGCCTTGAGACCGAGAGCAGTCCACCAGGTTCTGCTCACTCAGTGACACGAGTTTGCCAGTCTTCCGGAACACCTGTCCTTCAAGAGCACCAGTTGCACTAAAAGCCCAACAAGAACCACACTGACCCTGAAAGTAAAAAAGTTATCAGTTTACAAGACAACAAAAGCCCATATACCTGAATATTCTTAAAACAAAAAAGCAAACTGATGTCACTCCACAGTCTACCAAAGCAAGGACACTAGAAGGAGATCTGCTAAATATTATCATACCTGATTCTTCACAGGAGTTACATAGCCTTTCAGAGTCCAGTCCACAGATTTGGGGATCGCAGCAAAGAGAGGTTCTTGGAACACTTTCCCTTTCCTGTGTTTCTGGTTTCGAAAGCCATTCATCACCTGCCTGAATTCTTCATTGGTCTTAAGGAAAAGTAAGTAAAATGTTGAAAAAACAAGAAGTTATTCTGCTGAAGTACAGAGAGAATGCACAAAACGTTCAGCAATCCATGCCACACTCACCATGTCACCAAAGGCATTCATTGCCATTGTGAAGCCATGTTTCCCTTGGCTATATTCCCGATTATGCAGTTCAATCATTTTCATATTCTTCTCCCACACTGCTCTCTTCCATCCTTCTTCATTCTAGAGGCAAATACATAACTTACCTTTACTTCTACTTAAAACTGAGCCCACCCTCACCAAGTGGATTTGCAGACAGATAGAGAGAAAAACCATAGCCAGGGATGGCTTTATTATTTCTGTTGGAGCTATTCTCCAACAACCATACAACATGGGAATTATGCCCATATTGTACTCAATAATGGGTGCCATGAAGTTTTGCCTCGGTAAAAGCTGACCTCTAGATGCAACTCTCTACCTATAAACTTCCAACAGCGAGGGCCTTTCTCTTGGGCTCTCTCTGGACAGTTTCATAGGTTACCAACCATGCCATATAATCTCCTGTGCGCCGCCTTCCACTGGGACCAGTGCGCATCTAAGCTCTGATCGAGTTTTGGAGCTGCTGCGGCTATTCCCAAGCAAAGGGCAGCCAGGAAGAATGAAGGATTCATGCTTCAAAAACCTAGTAAGGAAAATGAAATGAATATTCAATGAGACCGATCCTTTAAAAAAGCCATCCTATTTTGTCCTGAGATGATGTGGAGTAAAAACACTTAAATCATCTTCCCAAATATTTACAGGTCTGTGAAGAAGGCTATGCATGTGGCTGGAGAAAACAGGCCAAGGACTTAAACAGTGGAGGTAGGATTCAGCCATCAACTGAAAAACAGGCTGACAATGCTGTAGGAATTGAAACTGACTTCATTGTAAGAGTGCAATGACAATTTAGGTTTTGATAGGGGTCTCAGAATCTTAAGGCAACTAAAACTGTTAGTCCAAGTTATTTACTGAAAATACCGAGGTGACCCAGGAAATCTTATTTATAGGACACCTGAACCCAAGTAGGGGCAGAGACCCCCCAGTACTTAGGTAGCCACCTCACACTTTTCTTCTAGACTAATGTACAGCATGGCGTGAGAGAGGCCTTCGAACCTCCGGTTCTTGAATTGAAAACTTTCTGAAAGGCCTTCCCAGAAGTTGGGCAGGAGTGCACCCAGTGCTCCGCTGTCCCCACATTTGGCTTCTGCCGCCAACACTCCCATTCACTCCCCCAAATCGAAGACGTGGTCACGAGGCACGAGGGAATCCCGAGCCCCCAGTTCCCGACCCTGACAGGGCCAGGCTTTGCCGGGGCTCAGAGCACGGTCCCAGGCGGGGGCCAAGAGCGGCGCGGCAGGTGGGGCCGGGCCGGGGGGCTCTCCACCCCGCTCGCCGCCCTCAGCTTCCAGAGGATGTTGATGGACGGCGGCGCAAGGAGTGCCGGGCCCCGCAGCCAGTGCGTAGGTCAGGCTGCCGTGTACCTCCTTAGCCAGGCCGGGTCCCGCGGCGGCCCAGCTACCGGACCTGTGCCCGCCACGGCCCAGAGGCTGACCGGTTCCTGCACAGCCTAGGACCTCCCGGTGGTCTCAACGCCGCCCTGCGTTCCCCAAACCGTCCTCCCCCGACTTCCCACCTCAAGGCTTACAGGACCCAAGCGGCGCCGACTCAGCCTCATCAACTCCAGGCAAGCAGATGCTCTTATTCCCGCGGGTCGCACCCGCCCCTCGCCCGAGCCCCGGGGTGGATCCCCTCCTTTAGTCCCTGTCCCCGAGGCGCTGGGGGCCCCCAGACTGAGACGCTGACCTGCGGCGTCCACAGCTGCGCAGGCGCACTCCACAGACGCACGCTGCCCTTCCAAGATCGCCGAGGCCTGGGATTCTGGCCCAGTTGCTCCTGACTCAGCCTTTAAGGTCTCTGGAATTCTGCCCGCTCGGCCCCGCCCTTACCGCCTGCCCGCGCGGCGATTGGCTGCGCCGGCCTGTGGGCAGGGCCTCCAGGTGTGGGACTCCCAGCGCGTGACGCGGCTCGGTCTCAACTTGTCCCAGGGCCGCTAGGGCCTGCTTCAGTGGGCGCGGGGATAGCGCTGAGGGGGACAAGGCGGCGGGGTACGGAGCCAACCTGGGGACCCAGATCAAGTCATTACCCCGAATTCAGGAGGTCGGCGGGTGGTTCACGAAAGGAAGCTTACAGGGAGCCCCGAATGAGTTTTCACCATCGCTCTGCTTGTCCTTTAGTTCTGGAGTTTTTGGTTAAAATCTCCCGTAGGTTTGGGCTCCTGGGTGGCTCAGATGGTTAAGCATCTGCCTTTGGTTCGGGTCATGATCCCAGAGTCCTGGGATCGAGTCCCGCATCGGGCTCCCCGCTCAGCGGGGAGCCTGCTTCTCCCTCTGCCTCTTTCTCTCTCTCATGAATAGATAAATAAAATCTTAAAAAAAAGAATTCTTTCTAGGAAAAAAAAAAATCTCCCGTAGGTTTGAGAACAATATAATCTAGTCTAGTCGTTCCTGTTTATTCCAAGCAAAGGTGGGGCGGGTGGAGGATGCAGGATGGGATCCCTCTGGGTTTGGGAAGAATCTGGAGTGGACTGGAAATCTCCCAAATACGGGACGCGATGGGCAAGACCCAAATCCTTAGAAGGAAAGGGGACAGACTGGATGGGTGTACAGAGAAGGCGTGGCATTTTGTAATACTTCTGTCCTGTTTCTCCCCCTTCTTCCCTCTCAAGCCTTTCTCAAAACCAACAGAAACAAATTATCTATAGAAAAATTTGGCTTAATAAAAAGGAGAAAAGCGGCTGAGAAGGGTGGAAACATATTTTCCTACACTCTACATTAGGGATTGATTGTTAGGTCTTTCTCAGTACCCAGTGCTTCTCTTGAGCTATAAGGAATTAATAACACTTAATGTCAGGGTTTAGGTTATGCAGTTGGAAGAAGTGTTTTAGTTGCAGAACAAATATATATACATATATATATACAGTTGACCCTTGAACACTGTGGTTGTTAGGGGCAACGACTCCCCACACAGTTGAAAATCTGCATTATAAACTTTTGAATGGCCAAAACCTTAACTACTAATAGCCTACTGTTGGCCAGGAGCCTTACCAATGACATAGACAGTGGACTAACACATATATTGTATGTTGTATGTATTATATAATGTATTCTTATCATAAGCTAGAAAAAAGAAAATGTTACTAAGAAAATCATAATGAAGAGAAAATAAATTTACAGTATCCTAGGTATTTATCAAAAAAAAGGTGGATGTAACTGAATTCCACATTTCAAACTTGTGTTTTTCAAGGGTCAACTGTATGTAGAGATTTAAGGAAATTAATTCAGAAATGTTTCTAAAATTTTCTTGTTTTAATTGCCTAAGAAACACTCATTGTAGAAAGTTTATTTTAGAAAATGAACACCCCTGTCCTCTCCCTCCTCTTTTCTAAGGATATCTTTATATATATATATATATATTTTTTCTTTTTACAGAAATGGAGTCATAGTGCATGTCAATTTGTACTTAGTTAAAATTAAATTGATAATCTTCATAGAAGCAAAATCAGACAAATATTTTTAAAAGTCAGCTTCTTACAAATTTCATTTTATGTCCTTTGAAAAGTAGAGTCCTTTTCATCTCACACACAGCTAGGGCCCAAAGTTCTCAGGTGGTTACGAAAGTGTACTGCATATGGCTGGACTTTGGGTTTTTGTTTTATCCTTAAAAAAAAAAGAAAAAGTAATCATGGTGGTCCATACAAGTGTTATCCACATGTGGAAATACATGAAGACCACCCACATGATACAAAAAGGAGACAATTCAAAAACAGAGTGAGGAAAAGCTTTAATTATGAAAAAAGAGGGGGGCTTCTGTAAGAGGCTGTTGTCATGGGGAAGCTGGAGGATGAATAACTAGAAATGGAACCTCATTTATGTGATTGGTTTGGGGAGAATATTTGGACTTCTCTGGTTTGTCCTGGGTTGGAAGTGGAGGCAAAGATAAATTGATAGCCATTCAGCAAGTCCTGAGAGGTTGCCTGAGAGGTTTCTTTTGTGGGTCAGAGTTCTTTGTCATGTAAAGTCTGGCCATTGTTTGCTTGTTTACTCAGTCAATCACAAGACATCTAAATTATTTTAGTACGTGGGTTTTACAGCTGCCCTGGGGTCACACAGCTCCCTAAGAGTGCACAGGGTGGAAAAACCTGCTACGGTGTGAATGTCTGCACCTTAGGCAATAGTCTGGCAGGAGGCTGCCTGCCAGGTGCGGCTCCAAAGAACGGCATCCCCTTTGCTTGTTGGAATGTGATACAAAATCAATGGAGGATAAAATGGTCACTACTGCAAATATGCTCAAAACCTAAAATTAAATCAAGAAAAATCTAAATTCAGGAGAAGTATAGGAGAAAGCCATGTAAGCAAGAGAGTGGAAGATACTGCTCCAACTCATAACCTGTGCTTATACATAATCTGTTAAAGAATGCATTACAAAAATGTGTATTACTAACCATTGTGTTCCTTTTCTTCTTCTTCTATTGCTATTCTTTTGCAAAATAACTTAGATGGGTGCTAATATTAAAATAGTCACATTTTAGTCAAGCAACCAAGACTTAGCTCTGCCTTTGATAAAATTCAGTTGTCAGAATTTCCCAATTCTTATTTAAAATGCAGTCTCTGTAAAAGTATATTCTCAGGTGCGTGTCTAGATTTCTTTGGCTCACCAGTAAAACAGGATATAATTCTTTACCTCATCTCTGGAAGTTTTAAACAATGGGGCAATGAGCAAATCCAAAGTAATGTTATTCAAGACCCTGGGGCCACTTAACACCTCTCCCCAAAATAACAACCTCTCCAATTTGTTTCAACTCAATGAGCCAAGACTTATTTTTAAAACATTGTCCAGACAACTGTCCATTTGTAAAATGGTTTATTATAATTTATAATTTTATGAAAAAGAGGCTGTGTATGATTAGTTGTTCATATGAAGCCATTTTTGAAATAATTTTTTTTTTTTGAGCTTCTGTAACCTTGTCTTTCCTATACGGTTAAATAGCCAATTCCTTAAGTAAATCAATTAACAAGAATTAATTAAACTTTTCCTTTGTGCTCATTGTCCTCTCCTGGTGTAGTTTGTGTATTTACTTAGACACATGCTGCTTGTAACTTCACTAACAGCTTTACTGAAGCTCAGCCTTTCCATTTTAAAATCTGAGATTAACTACAATAATCTTGATTTTACAGCATATGAGCACAGCCATGACCAATATCATTGAAATGAGATTATAGCAAAGCATCTTGATGTAGTGGGTAACAAAAGAGCTGACCTTGTGGGATTTTCCCCACCACCAAGACTATAATCCACAAACTCTCCCTTGGTTGCCAGAGGATCTTTTCCTCAAATCTGAAAAAAAACTAGTCTTTTCATGAAAAAAGATGTAGCAGTTTCTTTTTTTTTTTTTTTAAGATAATTATTCTTTTTTTTAAGGTTTTTATTTATTTATTTGATAGAGAGACAACGAGAGCAGGAACACAAGCAGGAGTGGCAGAGGGAGAAGCAGGCTTCCTGCTGAGCAGGGAGCCCGGTGTGGGGCTTGATCCCAGGACCCTGGGATCATGACCTGAGCTGGAGGCAGACACTTAAAGACTGAGCCACCCAAGTGCCCCGAGATGTATCAGTTTCTTATGGCTGCTGTAACACATTTCCACAAAGCTGGTGGCTTAAAACAACAGGAATTTGTTCTCTCACAGTTGTGGAGGGCAGAAGTACAGAATCGCATCACGTGGGTTGAAAACCGGGGCGCCTGGGTGGCTCAGTCGTTAAGCCTCTGCCTTCGGCTCAGGTCATGATCCCAGGGTCCTGGGATCAGGCCCCGCATCGGGCTCCTCGCTCTGCGGGAAGCCTGCTTCTCCCTCTCCCAACCCCTCCCCCTTGTGTTCCCTCTCTCGCTGTGTCTCCCTCTGTCAAATAAATAAATAAAATCTTTAAAAAAGAAAGAAAGAAAGAAAACCGGTTGTCCTAGGACTGTGCTCCCTCTGGAGGCTCTAGGGGAGAACCTGTTCTCTTCCAGCTTTAGCCATTCCTTGGCTTGGCTTGTGGAATATAACCCAATCTCTGCCTCTGTCGTCACATTGCCTTCTCCTCTTTTGTCTGTGTCAAATTTCCCTCCACCTCCCTCTTATAAGAACCCTTGTGATGGCATTTAGAGCCTATCCAGATAATCCCTCTCAAAATCCTTAATCACATTTGCGAAATCTTTGCCACGGTAAGGTAACATTTACAGGTTCCAAGAATTAAGATCTGATATCTTTGGGGGCCATTATTTAGTCAACTGCAACATGGCATAAATAAAAACTAGTTTCTTGACAAGGCTGATCAAAACTTTGTGTTTAACATCTTTAGACTGGCTTGACTAGGACAGCTAGGCTCTAAACTCTATGTGAACTTCCCACACTGTAAATTTGCTCATGTCCCTTACTACAGACATTTCCTGCCTTGACCCTCCTGGTAGTGCAATGTTTGATACAGTTTGTTACGTTTCCAGACTCCCCCACAGCAGTTTTTATTACCTCTTCCTTGCCTAGCCCCCTTTACTCTTCCCACAGCCACCTATTCCAGGGTCTCTGCATATAAAAGCATTGCTCACCCATCCCTTCCTGAAGACATTTCTGGTTTGAGCTTGGAACATCTCCCTAGGGCAATTGTCCCCATTAATACAGTCTTTCCTTACAAATGTAGGTTCTTGCATTTTTTTCCCCCTGACACCCTGAATCATTTTGGTAAGATCCCCTCCCTATGGTCATATCATTTGTGCTATTAAGAGTCAGCTTGCACATACATCTGCCAGGGGTTTGTTCCACAGGAAAGGCATCTCCATATGAGAGTACGCATTACTCCTGGAAACTAA